TGATAAGTCCTAGTATTTGAAGAACAACGGCGATGCTAGCAAGACTAGATGCTGACGCCTCGCGTGTTTGAACAATCGAGGTAACTCGACGTGTTCATCTGCCTTGGCAGAATGCAGTGACGTCTAACCAGAAATGGGCTCGATAGGTAATTTGACCTAATCTTGTGTTAGATGATAATTGGGAGTAGAGTGAAACCAATGACTCCAATTTCGTGACATCATTGGTTGCTGTCACAAATTCGAGTAGTCGATTGGTTCTCGTCTGCCTGACCAAACACCCTACACCAAATCGAGTTCCTTCAAAAAATGGCGGTCATGTCTTGAGTGCAGTTGGAGGCGGGAATCTCATTGGTTGCTACCATTTCCGTCAAACTGAAACCTGCGACCAGCCTTTGAGTGTTCCATGAACGTGGAACGTCTAATTAAGGTCGCACCCTCAAGACAACACAGTAATGCGGAAATTGCCTGATGTCAGCTAGTTCGTGCGTTTGAGCATCCCAATGAAAAAAAAAACAACGTACCTTCAGGTGGGTTTTCTTCTTGAAACTCGGAGGCGGCAGGAACTTCACCGCCTTCTCCAGACACTCGTTGGTGCGTGGTTTGGTTTTCACGCAGACGTCAACGGCCTTTGTTAGTCTGTAGCCACCTGGCCAGAAGATTCGTTGTGTGTCCACCGTTAGCCTAGGCGCCTTTTGTTTGTCTGAGGTCTAAATTGGGCGCGAAAATGGAAATGTCAGTTTGAGGTGAAAGTTGAGGCAGGCCTGATTCCACGTTTAAGATTCCAACCTGCCTACTTATAACGAAATCAGTAGACTGATCCACATAAGGCTCAGAAAACCCTTTCGAAGCCTTTCATCCTTTACCACCATGGAGTAAGCACAATTTAATCAGAATTTAGAAGTCGCAAACTTGGAACCAATGAATGGCAAACATACGCTCTTAAAACACTACTTACTACATTAAAGTAGTTAGGTTAATGCAAACCCACATGAACCAGGCCATACTTTCCAACAACGACTAAGTTGGGCTCGCAACGGCTCGCGCGGCAGTTGCTCTGAGGCTGTACATTGACGACTTTGTAGAGAGAGCCAACGCGATCACCGCGACTGTCAAATTGGACGTGGCCGGTCGCACCGTCCTCGAAAACTACGCTGGTCATTGACCTTGAAAAAACACCAAATCACGTGACGGCGCGGTAATTCACGGTGAAGCTTTCGCAATCCCTGCATTACTTACTCATACAACTTCGAGGAGTAATCGAGCCAGGAGTAATTGGAGTTGTGGGGGAGCCTTTCGACAATTTCAATCTCCTGATTGCAATTCTTGATGGACTCGAGTTCGAACATGGCGCCCGGGTCGCGTCGAGTTAGGCTAATGATGCCTTCGGTTGCAACTCGTGCAGCATCGTCGACATGCAGCAGCTCATCAGACAGCGCTAGGCGAACGCTGAGCACCCCTTAGATGAAAATTTTATTTAGAAAACACAAGCTACTAAATAGTAGTAAGTAGAAAAGAATTCTTACCCGAAGGAAGGTTTTGCGCTCCAAGACACTGCTCAGACACGATCCAGGCCCACTCCCTACGCAATAGTCCAAGCCGAGTGGCGACTTTAAAGATGTGCTCGGAGTAACGACGTGTGACGAAGAGGAGGATGGCGCGCGTTTGACCCGATCTGATGGCCTCTAGTCTAGCTGCGAGTTCCTTGTGACTGACAGCGTCTTCTTCGTCCGTGTTCAGCGTGATGGTTTGAGAGATCTGTGCATATGAAACACAATTAAGACAGCAGGTGATTTACGCGAAAAAATGGAGTAACAGTTTAGAACTAAAGATTTCACCTTGAAGTCGACGGCCTGCTGTGAGTGTTCCAGGTAGGCAAGGAGTGCCTTGGCATCCTGATTATTGTCGGAATGAATGAGGACGACTTCGTGCCAGTCAAAGGCCGAGATCAGCTCTACCCAGACTTGCGACTCGAGAGAATACGGCGGCACTGTGCGCAGGAAGGTCGCGTGGGCGTACTTGTCACTGAACACGGCCTGACGAGTGCTCACGCCAATCACTGGTACACCATAGAGCGCTGCTACGTAGGAAATGGACAGAGGCGGAGCTGTGGGGAACTTGGGTGGGCTTGAGACGACGACTGCAAACAATCGACCCTTGCCTGCTGCGAACATCGAGCACAGTTGTCTTGAGGCCTTGAGTGCGTTCGACGCGAGAAGCTGAATCCACAGAAAGAAAGTTTGCAGTGGCTAGAGACTTAGCACTACCTTACAACCCTTTCGTTAACAACCCGTAACTACCCGAGGAAAGAGGGAAAAGCGGCGACAGAGAACACGACCGTTTGTTAGTGTCAAACCAGCCAAGTGGCGTAACAGGCGAATGCTGACGGTGGCCAATAACAAAAGGGGTGAATCATTGGTTCACTCGGGCCCTCATGCACGCATCACTCATGCGAGGTGGCTGCCAGCCCACTACAAGTTTATAGCATGTAGTGGAGGCTTTCGGTTCTTTGGCCCACTGGCCTGCTGAAGTTTAGCGAATGTGAAAGCAAACAGCAAGTTATTAAAAACAATTTATATAAATGCCTGCTATCCCATTGTCGAAGTTACGGGTTTGAGAATGCATTTCCAGAATGGCGACGTTTGAGCTACTTTCTGTATAAAAATTTACCAATATGCGACCAAAGTTGTCCCCCTACGTCACATGAAGCATGTTAACTAATTCAGTAAAATACATTAGAAGATAACTAATTTAAGTACACAATTTACTAAACCTGTCAAAACAGTTAACGCATCCATATCATAGGACCATCTAGAAGTTGATACAATGAACATTTCGGGGAAAGTAATAACAGACTTATTATGTTTTAAAAAAATTTAACCCTGAAAAATCATCTATGGAATAGATCAACGAAACATAAGAAAACGCGGAGAAAACTGTGCATATTCCAACACATCTTACGCATATTTCCAAAAGCAGACATTTTTATTATATTATTAAAATTTGGTATTAAAAAAAAAACAAAATAACTTACCTCTGCTAGTGGCGAAAACGACACCGTTCTACCGCTAATGCGAACCCGGATATTCATTACGGAGGCATTGAAGTGTTTCGTAGCCTCCGCGCTGCTAAGCAGAGCTCCAATAGTAAAATTTATTTCATTTTCCACATCTCCACAAGTGAGAGATACTAGCCAGAAATATACTAAAAAATGAAGCAACCGCCCCATTTGCACTATAAGGGCGGATGCAATTTTTAGGCATCTCAGCTATTCGTTACTTATTAACCAATAATATTTCAAGGAGATCTAAATGGTGTTTTTAATTAGAGCAGCACCTGAAAAATATCGGTAATTTACAACCTCCTTCTTAGTAAAATGAATCTAATTTTAAGGTTACCTGATAAACACAGTTACGCCAAAAGTATTTAGCTAAATATTTAATGTAGTAAATGCATACAAATTAAACCTATAAAAAGATCAAGCAATCAAATGCAGGCACTGAAAATTTCAAATTTCGTACTAATGAGGACCTTGCCAAACAGGTTTTTATGCGCATTATGAATAAAAGGAGTTATAATAATTAGGTGACCAGAAAGGGGAAACGTTACATTTGTTTGATCGAACCTGACGAAATTTTAAAGAGGAAGGGATTTACAGACGTTTAAAATTTCATAGGAAAAATAATAATCGTTAGCATTAAATCCATATAATTTTATTGGTCAATTTAAACTACAATTTTTAAACTGAAATAACTTAATTTTATGTATAAAACACATTAGCTCATTTTCATTGACCTTGAAAAAATAACGTATATAAGCTATTAAATACTGTCCTAAGACCTAGGTAAAATTAACATAAACTTGCATAAAAATCCCTATCGGTGGATCCTGCGCGAGTTAGTATATGTGTATTGAAAATCAATGAATATTAATGTAAAACCCGATTCACTTTATACCCAGATTTTGAGTTACAAATTTACGCCGTATAACAGCTTCTAACGCAGATGCATGAACTAAACATTAAATGAAATACGTAATTCCTGTCTAGTTAGATTTGCTTTCATAGTCCTACAATCTGTCACTAAAATTGCAGACACGTCGTGTGAATTTGATTATATCACTTGAAATGAGCATATAAAGTTTACCAAAATTGTGGTTTGGCAATATGAATAGTTCCTAGAGAACGTGCGTTATAACAGCATTAATGCGTTATTATCAGCAAGCTGGCACTGACAATGACGAAAATACCCTTCGCCAAAATTAGAAACAAATATTCGGCATGTGTGGCAGGCTGTGCCGGTATTTCCAAGAACTACAATCATGAAGCGATGATTTTTCGAATAATCTGCTTCAGTAATAACTGAAAAATGAAATAAAACGTGAATTTTGCCTGGCTGTCAAAATCGTGTATTCCAGATCCTACCTCTAAATTAAAAATAACTGCATCGAAAGTGCACTAAGTTGTGGCTGGGTGATTAGTTTGGGGGTTAGCACTCAAGAGTCAAAGCGCACAGCCGACAAGACAAGTGAAAACACTGGCAGTATGTTTCGGTTAACTAAATTAGCCAAAGGCTTTACATGCACACACTGAACAACATTTCAAGAATGCACTTTAAACATGTTTGCCTGCTTTTTTCAGCCACATCCATATCCCACCATAAACCTGCTAATTGCTGTACACCTAAGAACGCCACTCTTGTTAGCTAGATCCCTCTTAAATAAGGCGCAAAAAGTCTCGTAGATTTTGGAGCTAAGAAATGAAATTTTTGAGAAAGCCAGCAATTCCCAAAAGAAACCACAAAGAATATAGACAAGTAACTACATTTAAGCATTATAATGGATTGGCTACTAATTTTAGTAATCATCAAAGGTTTAGATTGCTACAGTAACTCCGATAGTTTCGAATTTGTCAAAATCGGCACAAAATGATGACGTTTAGCCCAATACACTTTTAATACAATCCAATTCTTTTCTTTAGCATACAATTTTACTTAACATTATCCAATTTTCGTATTTTGAGGGCGAATTTTCAAAACCACCGCTAAGCCACCTTATTGGATGCCCTCGTTTTGTGTGCTATTTTCGTATTGGTTGTCAAGGTCACCAGAAGCCTTCGTGATTGGCCAGTTCCTTGTCACTGCACTGTAAGTGTAACGCTTGCGCCAGTCAGGTAGGATTGCATACCACCGAAGTATGTTTTGTGCAATATGACAACCAAACATGATCTTTTAAAGCAAATTTCTCAGCAGGATCACGTGAAAGATGACATTAGTAGAGGTTAACAATAATAATAATAATTTTATTCGTGAATACGTTAAAAAGAGAACTCCGTTAAGCAAATGAGCTGTTTTTATGTACGTATGTACAGCAAGTGTTTGTTTAGACGCGATTAAAAGGTAAAAGAATTTAAAGGTCGCCGTATACAAAATATCATCATCATCACCATCATCAGCGTCATCATCACCATGGGACGAGGCAGATGTGTGTGTGTGTGGGGGGGGATGGGAGAGAACCGTCGGATTTTTTTTCGGGGGAGGGGGGGAGGGAGGCGTGCGGACACCGACACCCCGCGATCTACATGAGGCGGGAAATCACACGAGTAAGCGCCCGGTTTTCGGCTTTGAGTTTTTCCGACGCTGCTCGTAGCTCCTCGAGGACCTGAAAAAGAAAGTGTACAGCAGACTCTTAAATTGACGTCGTGGAATGGGCGCCACACATGCCTTGGGATTGGCACTTCGCTGCTGTCGTTGATGCAGCAAGCATTTTAAGCACAATTTTCGCTGTAATGAGCTGTCGTTTTCAATGGGAACGAAGCATTTTGGTTAGTTACAAAGGCATCTAAGTTAGTGGTTACGGATCACGCACCTTCGCGTCGCCTTCACTCTCAGTCGTTTGGTGTTCTGCTGGCTGTAAACAAACCAATCGATCGCAGGATTAGCCAATAGGATCACGTGTGGGGTCACTGCAGGACATCGCTAACCGAATAAAGCCCCCAGCTGCTCACAAGATAGCTGAATTTTGACTTACTCGCTGATCGGAATTCGTGGATTTGTGGGTTTTCCGAGCCTCCTCGATGCGAGCCCTTAGATCCTTCAGTTCCTGCTGGGCACGATCGATTTGTCCACGAAGCTCCTGAGTGTCCTGTTTCTCGGCTTCGTAGAGTCGCTTGTAATCCACGCTTGGTTCCTACAGCGGAGGGGTAAGACAACCAATCACCCCCCACTAACTAATCAGCGGAAAGCAAAGCCAAATCGATGCTCAGGATTAGGGAGGTGAGTGGGTGGGTGGGTTAGAGTGGGTTACGGGTCTTGTTAGGCTTCAGTGTCCCGCTTACCCAACCGGACAGGAAGTTTGAGGTGCGAAATGGAAGTGAATTTTGGCCATAAAAATCCATATCTTGCAGCCGTCTGTAGCGGTCTTGGGATTTTGTCCTTCTATTCATTGATTGGCTCGGACTGAGGGTCTAATTGGTGATAGGGCAATTGTTTAACGATTAAAAATATGCAATTTCAAACACAAAATTGCGCACTTTTATGTGAAAAACAAACCTCCCAGCGCTTGGTTAGTTAAAAAAAGTCAAAAACATGACTGAGAAGGCATCGGGAATAAGAGCGTAGGTGACGTTTTATTGACTCAGAGCTGAAACCTACCCTGATATTCGCGTTACTTAACCTTGCGTTGAGATTCTAAGCGAATGTGCGTTTGATCGTGTGCATATATAAAGTTGAAAACCACTCCAAAAGATCACTTTACTCTCCCCGCTCCATACACACGCACACACAAACCAAAATCGCACTGTAGCGCAGCCTGAAATCGATAGATTGACACTCACAGCAGCTCGGGAGAAGGAGGAGGGTGTGGTGGAGGGCGCGTAGCCGGGGGAGGGACGAGAATAGTAGCCGCTGGTCGTGCCACTGGTCACCGGTGTTCCCGAACCCGTGTACCAAGACCGGCTGGGTGCTGCTGTCGATTCGGTGCTCTGCAAAAGAAACAACCTTGACACGTCTACCTCACACCTTCTGGTCGAGATTTGCAAACAAAAATTGATGACCCATTCGATTTCGCTCTTCTCTCCGGGTTGGTTAGCTGTTAGTGACTGGCTGTCAGCCTGAAAAACTGGCGCTTTTAGCCACTATTAACGTCTTTTTCATGAAACTGACATTGCTATTCAGCACATGCATGGAACACTGGCATTGCGTTAATCAGCACATGCTGTGCTTTAACCAGTGCAGTCTAATTTATGCACCATAATCTTGCAATTAGGAACCTCATTGGCAGGATTCGGCCGAAAGGAGGTCTCAACTGCTAACTGCGTAAGCCATACGCAAGTCAGAAAGAGCTTGAATGAACGGTGTACGAATGAGTCACTGTTGTGGGGTTATACAAACGTCGAGAGGAATCAATCTGTGATGCAGTATCTAAGTCACTTCATTGGTACCCTGTTTAATACGATTCTGTCGTGGAGATTATAGATTTCACCTGCGGTATCGATTTGGGATTGGTGAAATCCAGATTTGATTTGTCCTAAATCCCCACAACAGCAGTGGCCAGCACTTGATCTGTTTTTCCCAATTCACACAAACCTTCTGTGGCTTTGATAAAGCAAATCACGGCAGCTTCTTTTACGTCTTTTTATGGGCCAATCAAACAGCTCTAGTTTGTGGACACCTTGATCGCGATTGGTGGAGGATGAATGCATTTGGGTAAAGCGAAGTGCCTCTGCGTGGGGTGTAGGCGTGAACGAGTTAGGAAATGTCAAACGAGGGTTTGCAGGGATAGTGCAGGAGTGTGCAAGTAGACATGCCCTGGGGGGGGGTGGGGAAGGGGTTTGCGTGGCGGTGGTGGTGGCGGCAGTGCATGCAACGAAAGAAACACGCAGAGAGACAGGGAGAGTGACGTACACTTGCACGGTAGAAGCTCTAAAAGCCACAGCAATGTTATGGTCAGGTCTAGTATGCTTAACACAACGAGAGCACATGCTGACCACGCAGGTGTCGATTGTTGGAAACCGTGGTATGGGGATTTAGCATTGAGTCCCTCTCAGCATCACACTGTGAAGATATCAGGCACAAGCACACCCTAGAAGTGTAAGCTGCGAAACCGTGCCAGAGGGGGGAAGCGGCTAGCCCGTTTCCAGTACCACGACACACAAATACCCCGTACTGAGCGTCGTGACACGTGGGAAAAGCACTTGGTGTGACCCCTCTTTGCCTCGAGCATGAGTTACCATGACATAAATCGCGAATGACAGAAAACAATGCAAGACACACACACTCACGCACACACACATCACAAGACGTCGAACCGTGGAAAAAATTAGCGCGGCTTTGTGGGCGACCATTTAATCTCGCAATTCTCGTTTTGTTTCTGCATAACTTCGTGCTCAAACCACCGCTGCACCAGATCGAACTTTTCATGTGTTTCCTAAGGTCCGGAAATTATCCTAGGAGAATGTGTAGTGGTTTTGGCTGCAGGATGCGTGTGTTTGGGGGTCTCACCAAAAATCTGTGTTTTATTTGAATTTACGTGGTGAGAATCATTTAAGGTTCGCATAGATGTTTACAAAGGAGAGCTATCAACACGTTAGGTGTTGCTAAATGCTAAACAACGTTTAAATGGGCTAAAACAACTTGCCTTTGTTTGCAGGAGAAAAAACAACTAGGATGTCATGTAGACTGCGAAATCAAATTTCCCATTAGTAAGAACGAATAGGTCACGATTTAAGGGAAAAAGCTCGTAAATATTGTGTCAATGATTTTCCAAGTACATGGTTGAACACAGTCTTGAAAAAAAAACTCTCGCCATCGTTTCAACACCTTTGATGTCTGCGAAATGAGGCAGTGTGGCGACTTTTGAAGATTGAAAGAAAGCAAATGTGCCCTTCATTTTTAGCTCGTCTGAACTAAAAGAGGTAAAAGTATGCAGACGACATTCACAGCGAAACCCTAGAGTGATCCCACGTCAAACTGGCTTTCAACACAAAACCAAAAATGCTTTCATAACGCTCACATCATCAGAGTATTTCCGTCGGGTCTGCGGAGTGTAGAAATTGGAACGACTGCCTGAAGCGGAGGACGTGGAGGCGATCGAATTCGTAGGGGTGTTGCTGCTGCCACCACCACCGGAGCCGCCATAGGCCGATGGAGCCCTGTACCGACTGCCGCGTGAGCGACTTATCCCACTAGTTGAACCAGATCCACTGCCTGTGCCGGGAAAATTCGACGGACTTCCACCCTTGGAACTCTTCGGGGCGTAATACCCGCTGAGGTAGGTGCCCAGCGGACCACCGTAAAGCATCCTCACTTCGCTAATCGGGTGTTCACGGCCTCGTGGATGTCGTCGTGTTTTGTCTTACGAGGCAGCAAACTGGCATTTGCGCATGTCTAACACGGCGGCAGGATGCTCTGCTTATGCGCGCTCGCACACACACACACATACACACACTTGATGATGTCACAGAAAGCACCCGCATGCGCGTGCGCACGCACAATTTCATTGATCCGTAGGTAATTTGCCCAGTAGGGCAGACAGGCGAGGCAAGCAGCACGCAACCCTGTCGCCTGTCAGTCATCCTGCAAATGCAGCCTCGTTATTGGTTGTTGTCAGCCAATAGGCAGGCGCCGTTGAATTCGTGCGCCTGCAGAATCAATGCACCGCCTCCCGTGCGTGCATGCGTGCGTGCGTGCGCGCGATGTGCCTCCGTCGCTGTGCTAATGAACCTTGACGACGGCTGCACTTTGCCGTCTAGGTCAAACACCAAAAAGGTAGGTGGCCGAACCCAGCAGATGGACAAGGTTGATGTCTTTTTTGTGGCACACGGGACATCGTTGCTGGTGCTGTTTCTAACGCCACCTGGCGAGAATTCAGAGGAACACTACAAATGGTCAATTCTAATGGTCGTCATCACCAAGCTAACAACTGTTATAGTGTAGAGTGGGGCTGGATGAGGTTTGTTTGAACTTTTAGAATCGTTTCAATCCAGGTCGGGTTGGTTTGGCGGGAAACAAGAATTAGCATCAAAGGGATTGCAGTGGGACCCTCAGACCTTTCTGTAAACGACTGAGTGGGATTGCAGTGGGGAATGTCGCAAACAGAATAGAAACACGGGTGAATGCGGACAATCATGAACGCCTCCTTGGTGCGATCGCGCAGTAAAATGTAATCGAAAATCGATAAATTCCCTTTGTGTCAATAAGTCCCGTTTCCTATATTCATTTCAATCGCCTGCGTGTGACTGGTTCCCTCAGTTTTGAAGGCTTTTGTCAAGGAGGGCCGACTACACGTGTTAAGTCCTCTTTCTGACGGATATAAACAAGATTTTAATAGTGCGTATGTCACAAAAACGTAGCATTTTGCACATACAAGCCACTAAAAGTAGTCGACCATATTTGCTTCTGGTAAACTCCTTTTAAACCATGGACACTTCATTCCAGACATTTTATCTTGGTTCAATCTTTGCTAAAAGCACTAACAGTAACCTTTCAACTGTCATGAACACATCATTTGCGTGAAGTGTAAAGTATTCACCTAAACCAAGGAATAAGCACGATATCTTGCTGACATTCCATGAGCCAAAACTCTTTGGTAAGTAAATAAATTGATTTTGTTAAATTTGAGAAAAAGTAAACATGTGGACCTTAAATGACTTAAGAAGCTCCGGAAGTTAGTACCAATTAACAAAGCATTAACCAATGAGAAGCTACTCTGCATCCTAGTTAGAATGTCGTACACAAACAACACTTGTGTTTACAGGATTTTACGCTGAGTGAAGATTGTTTTTCATTATCTGTCTTTTTCCTGTTATTCAATTCCATTCGAGCATTCACTTGCACAGAAACCTCGTTTGGTTAAAGCTACCATTTTCTTATGCACACCGTGATTACTTCCTTTTGATTGGTCCCCAAGAATTAGCTAAAAATACCAATTTTAGCCAACATTGTCTTACGCAAACTACGATTGGCTCTCACGGTTCGGCCTCCATTGATTGGTTCCTATTGATTTACACAAAACGGCGATTTGGGCTAATATTGTCTTACCCGATCAGTGATTGGTTCCTACCGATGTGAACAGTCGTCACAACGTCTGATTTGAACGGGTAATGACTTCCAAAATGGTGATTAAAGTAGCTTAAAAAGTGTTTTTTTTTTAACTTAAATTTGACATTTATAACCGGATGGTATTTTGTTGGCCTCATTAAGTAAAGTTCGAACTACGAGCATGTTCGTGTACACGGAAAGTTCATACTACTAATTTTAGAACCAGAACAACAATGTTGACGCTGCTTTCCTGCCAGACACGTCAGGCGTGACTGCTGCGGTATACACCAGACCCCTAGTCACACTCCTAGTACAACTACTTGTTCATTCACGGTGGAACATTTGTCGAGTTATATCCGTATAAACATTTGTTTTACTCGACTAGTTTTGTCGGAGCGTTATTCAATAATGGTAAATGACACAACAAGAGATGAAGTAATTTTAACTTAAGGTGCCACATAAATGTCCCAGTTTTACAGCACCAACCCCCTCCAAGGTCAACTCAAGGTCAGGTCAGATGCCAAAGAAGGCTAAATGTCGGGTGTTTAGCAGAAAGACAAGCGGGAACATCGGTTTTATGTGTTCTAGCACTGGACTTCATTGAAACGTGCAGGAATGGACCAAATCTGATGGCACTTTTTTTCTTTCTGTCTGCAAACTTCCGTGCACAATTTCCGTAGATGGAGGGAAGCACACAATTTAAAATAAAACACAAATTAACTTTTTAGTTGACAATTATCTAAGTGCTAAAACTGCAACAAATATTGTTCGGATCGAGCCCGGGTTACCACCAATGAGATTGTAGGCTAGTTGTTGTTCAAGCACACTGGACCAACTTCAAAACTAGTTTTGACGGAATGGAACGACTTGAGCCGTGTTCCCATAGCCACTTCTCATCTCGCTTGTTAACAAAATGAACTTTTCGTGGATTTGGTCATCACTGGGAATGAACTGTTGTTTGTGTATGATACCACAGTGAGAAATCGCAGCATGAAGCATGGAGGTGAAAGAGCGGATGCTATGGCGACGGCTGAATAGCTGCATCCAATGGAAGTGTTGGAAAGCGCCTGGTGATGGGGGGAGGTTTCAGAGAATGGAGGAAGAGAGGCGACAAAGGATACGGCCGTTTATTAGCGTCACGCCAGCCAAGTGTGTGGATGAGTGAACGAATGACAGGCGTCGAATAACAGTAGCCAATAAAAAATGGATGAGTCATTGTCACCGTCAGGTCAGTAACCAGAGTTCACTCAGGCGCGATCGCTGCTAATCCGCAACAAGGTTCGGTTAGTAACTCATCCAACTCAACGTGGAAATCTCAGCTAAACGTGGGGAATTAGATAGGGCATTATTTATCACCATGACAACGCCAAAACACATGTCACTCAACAAGAACTGAGAGTGTCAGCAGTAGGAAATCCTCCAGCAACACCCGCTGTGTTCCCATGACCTTCTTCCTTCGCATTCTCATCTGCTGCCTTCCACGGAAATTAGTTTGAATTTCGCCGAATAAACTTTTACGCGATTGGTCAGGATCTACACTGCGATTTTCATTGGAGCGGAAGCGAGCAATTTTTCCGGAAGCATCTAAAACATCGTGGGACCTGTCGCATTGGTTTTGGTTTCACGTCGAGCCCGACTATTTTTTCTTTTTTTTTCGTGAGTTTCATGGTGAAGTTCTGTAGCCGCCGTGTCCAAGACTTGGTTGCACTTTTGGTGCCGATGAACTCGGAGTAAGAACAAACTTTTATGCAGTCAACACGCACACCTACGTTGCAATTTTAATGTCAAAATCCGTGCCACGACATCAAAATTCACCACCAGTTTACGCACGGGGACACACTTTTCGTTAAGAGGCAGTAACCAAATGCCTGATTGGTTATTTTCCCACCTCGTTTTTGTTTTACTGGTCTATTGCGTGGGAGTGGCGGGCAAATCGATTTTTAACTGCCTTGCGAGCCGGTCTGAAGCATTCGAATAGCGGCCAAATCATTCGACATAGTTTTGGGTTAAACGAATGACTTTTCATTCTCTTTTTGTTTTACTAACCTGAAGCACTCGACTGGCGGTTGATTTTAATATTTGCACCACGCAACGAGTGACGCCGACAACTGCATTCATTAAATCTTGGCATTTAGATAAGCTGGGAAGGTTAAAAATGCAACTGGCAAAAAAAACCACACCAGGCAGTGAAGACACGCGTAGCAAGCCAGCTCCCATCATGTCCCAGGGCGAGTTGAGCTATTTTTAGGCTTTGCCGTGGCCATGCTGAATTAAAAATTTCCATTTTAGACTAACTTAGAGATACTACTGAACTTTTTTAAGTACACATAAATACCCAAGCAAAATTTAATGCGAAAACCTTCACACACATCAGTGATGAGTTTAAGGGGTAGGCTATATGCGAGTTAGGAGATTCACATCTTAAATCCCTTAGAAACCGACGTTGAGAAATACGAAAAGGACTTTATTTCGCATTTGGCGAGACGGCTGGGAAAAAAAGCACTGGGAAAAGGAGGAAATTAGGAAACGTAAACAAAGGTATCGATCTGTTGGCTGTCGCGTTCGATATAACGGCGTTCAATGAGCCACTCGAGGACCTCTTTTAGCATCTTCTTGGAGGGAATGAATTGGTCTTTCAGCAGGCAAATCACCTGCTGGTAGACCTCTATGAATGGGAGCCGTTTCCTGATTTTCATCACCCTGACAACGGCTTCCTGGACACGCAGCTGGCGCAGTTGCACTATCGCCAGACTCTCCTCTTCACAGCCCGTCTGCGTTAATTGAAGCCGACCAATCATGTTCACGCGACGACGATTTGGCGGCCGACCAGATCGGCTACATCAAGCAAATAAAACCATCTACTTATTATCAAATAGTACATTGTGTATCACAGATAGACACGGCGATGGGAAGAACGACTTACCACACACCAAATGAAGGATTAATCCAAAATTCCGTCTCGTTTGTGAAGTCCTTTTCCGAGGCGACTTCCGGGGAATAGAGAATAATCTGCTGTTCCATCTTTGGACGTTCTGACAGCGACTGAAAGTGGCAAATTCAAACACATTAGGCGGGGGCGGTGGCGACTGTGAAGACGGTGGGGGGGATTATGTCTGAAGCGTCTTACCCACAACGTTTTTCGCAGCTCCAAATCCGACAAACCGGTGGCCGTGAGTAGACTATCAAGTCGAAGACGCTGGTCGAAATCGCGGTGTCGCCAGGCGTAGAGAACGACAATCTGCAAGGTTGTCATCTCCAATTCCACGTGAGGAGGCTGCCCGTTTGCTTCCATGTGATTGGTTGGTTGGGGCGGAGAGTAAATAACGAGTCCGTGCGACAGGTGGTGCTGCCAAATCAACTGACGACCTTGATGCTTCTGCTTGTAGAAGTCCTCAATCTAGAAGGCATTTCATGCACACTTGTTCGTTATTCGAACGAAAATACCTGATTGGTTGATTTAAAATAACGAAATCCTAGGCGACCAATGGGGAGTTAACAAGGTTCTAAGTCGGTACTAGCGAAAACAGTTAACTCCGAGAACAGTCCTTAATCAACAAGGTAACACGCAAAACACCAGATATTGCCTCGGCATTGTTGCGAAACTCATTCGTGAAATCGTGATTTGTAACTAGTCTATTCAAACAAACTGTCAAACCTTAGTGCTACAGTTCTACTCAGACGAAGCAGTCCCATTGGTTAATTTCAACCGTCACACTTTTCAACGACCAATGGAAAGTCAGCAAGGTCATTGATGTCAAATGGAGAGACTGACACATCTTCTATTCGCATTTTTTGCAAAGTTACAAAAAAATGGAAGTACCTGATTGGTTAATTTAAGTCAGCAAATTACGAAACAAGGTTCTGGGTAGACAGGAACCGGCGGAATGGTACCACACTCGTGGTATTTGAAAGAACTGGACCCACCTGTGGGATGAAGTCTTCCAGCTCAGGAGGCAGTGCCATCGAGACCTTTGGAAGGGTCCTGGGAAGCCACGTGCCACTGCTGAGGATCTTGATGCTGATCATCTCGGAGGAGAGGAAGCCAGACAAGGAGTCGGCGCCCGCAGCGAGGTTGTTGTTCTTGGTCTTCTCGTGGAATTCGTGGGTGAGGTCGTGGGACACCTTGATGTCCTGGAACATGCGCACCAGGCGATTCACCAACTCCGCCGGCATTCCCACCTCCCTCAACTTCTCCACCATAAGCTCCTCCAACTCGCTGTCCGCGGACGTCTCGAGGATGAGGCGACGCATCAGGTGGGCCTTGTGGGCCTCCATAAACAAGTCCTTGGAGTTGACGTACTTCAGGACGAGCAGGATCTTCTTCAGACGCGTCATTATCTCGTCAGACGAGAGGCGGCGGCTGGTGGGCGACTTACGCAGCAACATGTCGCAAAATGCGGCCAGCAGGTTGGGGCACCGGGACTCCAGTCGCTTCACCGCTCCTCTGAAAATTTTCAAAAAGCAGAATACACATAGGCTGAAAACCAAATAGTAGTAGCAGCATTGGCAGCAAGTACTCCAACCCACCGGACGGAATCGGGCATTTTGACGGAGAAAAAGGACGTATCGTTGACCAGCCGTTGGTAGGCCTTGTCGCGTATGGTGAGGAAGGAGGGGTCGTTGTGGAAGGACTCCTCGATTATGGAGGAGAATCGATTGAAGAGGTCCATCAGTGTGCTCACGTAGCGATCGGCGTCCTAGGGGTTAAGGAAAAAAACAGGCACGCGGGTGTTGGGCAGAGTGCGGTCTCTGTGTGGGGTGCCACTCACCTTAAATATGACCTCCGCGTTGTCGCGCAGCTCGCTGCTGCCCGCGTGCCAGATGAATTCCTCAAGATACGGCAACAGCGGGTTAGCGTCTTTGGCCTCCTTCACTCGCCTGATAAGCTCGTAGGTCTGGCGCAGTTGAAGCCTATCGTCTTCAGCCAGGAGTTTCGGGAACTCCGCCAAGATATCATCCTACAGAAGGAAACACAGAGACCATGCACTTTAAGGGTAGATTGTGACGGTGGGAGCAAACGTGGCAGGCTAGTTAAAAGCGTTTAATGTGTTGCCTGGGCAGGAGGAATGTAGCGCGTGGTGTTAGGTTGCATGGCGCAGCGCGAGATTACAAATGCGAGGCGGGGCGAGTTGTGTGGGGTGATTGATGAGGGGGGAAAGGCGACTTTACCAGAAAGTGGACGACAAAAACCTGCACACACGCGTCCATGAGGGTCTCGATTGACTTGAAGTTGGGACCGCTGTCGAGGTACAGCTTGGCGCGCGCTTCCTCCTCCGCTAACTTCTCTTCTGCGTATCCCAGGTATTTCTGCAAAAAAAAAACGATGCGTGTCGGTGCCAAATTCGTCATTTGAAGCCAGAAAAATGTTTTAAATCACGGACGCAAGCCTAACCCTAAGGCCTCTCAACGACTAGCAAAATTTTCAATGGTGCCGGAGAAAATTTCACAAGGTTTTACATCAAACACGTCGTCTGACTACGTTTTTAAATGCCCTGTCAGCATCAAACCAAATCTGCTGATGAGAAAAAACGATGACTTGATGAAAACCACACTCGGGCCGACAACCTAACTTAACCCAAAAACCGACGCCTCAAAACACATGATACATTTGGCCAAACATACCTGTTGTTAAAAAGCATAAAGGGGCAGCTATATTTTTCAGGCACATAGAGACTCGACTTCAACACCAGCAACAACCAAGTGAGAAAAAATTTGATTCTGACATCACTTCTACTCTTTAACAGGAATTTTTTGACAATCAAGACCTACAACAGATTGGATGCACCACACTTACGCGAATTCCGTGTTGAGAGATGAACTGGCTGGTACGCGGTCGATAAAAATTTTCCATGCTCTTCACGTAGGCAGCCTCAAAGTGCTCGACGTAGCTCCAGGCTTTTGTGGTTGACGTAGTGGACAAATTTACTACAGAACGGCACTTTAGTGATCCGCAATACTCCACTTACCACAGGATTCTCTTACGCCGATAACTAAAGCCGAATTGATTATTGCGCCTTCGCGTTCATCCTGCACCAACTTCATTGCGCTATCTTCAAGTTTCTGCTTGATACCCTCAAAAATTGTCACATCCCAAGTATCCAACATGCACTAGGGGAACAGTACTAACAAGAGGGATTACTACCTTGCGCACAATGCTGTACTTTAATTTTTTTTTGCTTGGACCGCTCAGATTGTGTTTACCGCCAAGACAATTCTCGAGTGGAGCGAACGGATTAGGAAGGTTGTCGCTATTTTTCGAGAACACAGACCACTCGCGAATGTATGCCTTCAACAAAGACGACTCATCTTGGCTCTGCATAACACGCTACAAAAATTATTTTTTAGAGCAGATAAGATTACGAACCTGCTGTGATCGCGTGATTGCGCTTTTGATAGATTCTGTCAAGGACTTGAGCATTTCGTCACGAGCCGACTCTTCCCAAGAAATTATGGAATAAACGTCCCTATTGGAGGAGTTAGTAAAAAATAACAGGTGACTTACTCAAATAGCTTAACCCATTCGGCAGGGGGAACGGGTTCCATATTAAGGAAACGCCGCACGACATCGTTTACCGCCGGCCAACGGCGCTGAAATACTGACTCCTGGCCTGGTGTCTAATGATTCATAATTAAAACGGTTATACGTTTCTTACAGAAAGCATTATAAGTACAAAAATCCAGATGATATTTCAGCAAGAAAATGTTACAAAGCGAAAGGTTTAGAAATTAATAGTCGAAGTAACAGAGAACAACGCAATTGAACTTGGCGCATAAAATAGTATTAATTTGATTAGTTATTTTTAAGCAAATAACTCTTTGCAAACCACAAACGAAAGGAAGACATTATAAATATTAACTGATAAGCTAATTTTTTTCGTACTTAAATAATATCACAAATACGCTTTACTACTTATCGAAAAATTGTTTGCCACTAATATCTAAAGTGTGTTTAAGCTAAAATGCGAGGTAATTTAAGACACGTAGGATAAACACATAGTAATGCACCTGCATCTCAGCAAAAAATGCAAAGCTTTTATGTAGATACCACGAATTGTATTTGCAGACACAGGCGCCACTCTTCTGGCCGCCACAAATTTATGATCATAAGGATTTTAATAAGTTTGCAGTGCGCGCTCGTGTAAGCAATCAGTTACAGCAGGAAACTAAAAAGTTTGGACTAGCTTTTAAAAGACTCTGCTCTAATGGTACAAAAACTGATAAGCCACCTCTTATAGGCAGCTGATAATATCCCAATCAGCAAAAAAATTTTTTTACGATTTACTAAAGCATTAGAATGATTTTGGGTTTTCGATTAAAACCTTGTGCACCAAAAAAGAGCCTCTGCACAATCGATGTATTAGCTTCTTTACATGAATAAGAAACTAACTTTTACTTCTTGGTGTCACTTATTGAAGCATCAAGCTTGTATTTGAACTGTTCAAACAGAATTATGTGTTATAAATCGGTGAAAAATGGAATTAGTAGGTTTCCTGACCATAGACATTATACGATTGCAGTGGTTAACTTATCTTCAAAAAGGATCAATAGCCAAAACAGTTATTTATGAATTTACTTAAAACCAACCTGGCTTGTGTCAGAATTTATGAAAGTTGAAAGGCGCAGATAAAAGTAATTTCAATTGAATTGTGATAGTTCTTAAGCAGGCTTTAAAATCAATTAAATCATTTTTAGCACGCTCATCAAGTCAATTTTTTTTCGAAAATTTTAAATAAGCTATTTTTTAAAATTTTGTAATTATATGGCCAACTGTTGGGATGCCTAATATCACTAGTTACCCAACAAAGATGAATTCAACCGTTTATTCGAGAACTTGACGAAGCCATGGTCGCATATGGGATTTGTGCGTGTGTAGGAGTCATAACTGCGCTAACATCGACACCTAGGTGTGAGCTTAATGCAAGATACATATGCGTGTGAATGAGTGGAAAGTTGAGAATTTTCGCGGCTGGCGCCATGCTGCGAAAAAGGGGAGCCCTGTGTCGGAGGCGAAGCGATCGGATTAAGAGGTTGAATAAACAGGATTCACAACACAACATTGCGCATGCGCCATGTCTGTGCGAATCAAATGCTCTTTATTTGTGACAATGCCAGATGTCCTGAAGTCTTTTTTTGCTAGCCCATTTAAGGTGAGCATGTTCATTTTAAAAGCGGCACTATAGTAATTCAAATAAAAAATTTGATTTTTGATGGGTTCTCAGTGTGTCATTATCATGTGACAAACCAGGGCTTTTTGTGTTGATTAATTACGAGTTTTATAACACTTATATGTCACTCCGGTTAATAAACGATCGTGCCAAGTGGTGTTTTTTTCAGTTTTCTACTTCAATTTTATGAGACTTCACATTTAATGTTCTGATTAACTGATGTCATGATCCTCTACAAAATAAACATATTTGGAAGGGTTTGTGTCGGTTAAAACTTGTTCAGAAAACAATCAGAGTACGATAGGAACAATTTCTCTTTACAAAGTGACTAGCTGTATGAAAAGATATTCCACTTGCATGGGAAACTCCGGCATGTCTTGTAAATAAGTGGATTTACATTTCAATTTGTGGAAAGTCATAGTCATTAGACTTGTGAGAAGCCAATAGTGTTGTCTTACCAGATGGATACGATATGAGAGCCTCTACTTTGTGATGTGTGACCATGTTTGGAGGAAAAACTACCTATAAGTAAGTTTTGGTGCATCATGCAAATGGCAAAACCAATTTCACTCGATAGTTCATTTAATTTTGTCATGACTGGGCCCTGTAATTAATGACTTTCAAACCATCATTCCATCAGGCGTTATGTGGGCGGAATTCCGACAACGTGAGATAGCCCTAGGCAACAAAATCATGACCTTCCCAGCAACAAAAAAAACACGCAATCTCGCGTAGTTATGTAACTTCGTTTGCACACGTGATGTCGCATCACCTGGACCTAGAGACGACCATTAATGGGACAAAAACGTTTTTTTCCGATTGGTCAAGATCTAAATGTCACCAGAAATGTTTTGTGTATCCAACACTAGCGAGTGACTGGATTACTTCGTTCGACAATGCCTCATTCACAACACACAAGCTTCATGCCGCATTGAACCAAACATCCTTGCGCAATATTAAGCATAATTCAAAGCAATCACGAGCACCAAGAACGCACAACGAACAAGTCCATTGAACTGGAGTTTAGAGCGAAATAAATTATTTTAAATGATGTCGCAAATCAGTTGGTGGAGGGGTGTCAGGTGGGGTTCTTGAGTAAATGTATCAAAAGTAGGCAAATTACACATCCAAATTATTGAGCAATGAAGCATTCAGCACGCGGTTGGCAATTTCTAAAAGGCGCTTTCTTTTGTACAAACAGGTCGATGGTGATGGCGGTGGCGCTGACGGAGATGTCAGTGGTAGAGCATGACGTAGTAGTCGTGGAAGTACATGTAGATAGCCAGCGGTTGGCCGACAATAAGAGTGAGCCACATGGCCATGTTTCCGAGTTTGCCGCCGTTAGGACAGTAGTAGTGGACGAGGAGTGCGTAGGGCTGTTGGCTTAGCATTGCAAGGAAGGCCCACAGACGTGGCATCTTCAGCGGCACCGAAACCGCCAACTCGTGGAAGAATGCGCTTATGAAGAAGACCACACACGAGGCCGTGAACCTCGTGTAGCCTCTAGTTAAAATCGGCTTGTAAACGTGTCTACAAACCAATCACAGACAACGACTGACGTATTGGGATTCTGGGGAAGCGAGACGAGAAGCGTTCACACGTTTAAAACACACTCACCTTCTACACCAGCGGTGAACAGGGATGTTCCAGGAAGACCAAAATGCCGACACCGATGATGCGTTCCTGTAAGGCCAAGAAAAAGCGGACTCAATTTAGCCAATCAGATAAAGGATGGCGTGTGATTGGCCAGCGAAGTACCCATCTTAGCGAAGCGTGTGTGAGAACGCGGGGTCAGTCGATGACACTCATCCAAACGTGCCTGGGTGTCATTCAACGTGGAATCTATCAAAGGCCTTCGCTACGGCCATAAAGAATGGAATGGTAGCTTAATTGCACAGACCACTTCAAATCTGCCGATGACATACAGTTTAAGACCCATGGAACACGTCGGATTTATCAAGAAATCACTCTAAGGCTGTCAATTTTTGTGAAAAGCCTGTCTCTCACCACCAGTCCTCGTAGAAGCATCGATCAGCGAACATCATAATTTCCGCCAGAACATTCAGAAACGAGTGGAACAAGGCGTAGAAGCCAATGAGCCAGATGATGTGATTTGGGATGGCGATGTTCAGCAGCCGTTCCAAGCTGTAGAGCCATCTTGAACGAATGAATGGTGTCACGGAGCTCTTCAATCCTGGAACCATCCACTGTTGAACCAGCATGATAATCACCTGGGTAAAGCAGAGCTACAAACAAGGCAAAAGTAAACAAGCGTAGAGTTGGCCAAAACTAGTGCGTTTCAGTAACCAAGGTAAACATGACAATCATGAATGACGCCGTGTGTGTTCCCACGACAGCATTAGCTCGCGTTTGGCGCGTTAGCTTGCCAATGTAATATCCTCTATTTTATTACACTTTGATTGCTCCGATGGCTGGTTTATGTGCCTTCCTCTACTATATTCTACAGCCCGCAATTGTCGACTGGGTTTGAACGAAATCCGAGAGTGGACTCACTAGTTCAAGGAGACGTTTGAGGAGGAAGCGTTTGCGAATGGAGAGGGTGCGTGGGAAGTTGAGCTCGTAGCAAAGCGTCGGCGCGAACATGAAGTAGTAGAGGTCGCCGAGGGTTAAGTTATCGGGGTACTTGGTAAGCGAGATGTAGATCTTCGTGCCGGTTGCCTCGTACGAGTTGAACGAGTCCTCGGTTGGTCGAGGTCCATCCTTCTCATCATTACCCGACTGATTACCGTCTGATTCAGACTTGGCGGCGACTGCCTGCTGAAGTCCGACCGGCGCCTTGGCAGTGCTATGAGCACGAACTGGAGAGGGAAGAGGCAGAATGAGTAAATGCATACACAGAGCGGATCAATGAAGTTGAAGGGCATTGGTTGAAGCGTGGGACAGCCAATCAGATTGGGAGGGGGGGAGGTGATCGATACAAACGACCAATCCACTTAAACAACAGGGGCTAATTGACAATTGGAGAAGGTGTGGACCTAATGCAAGGGTCCAACGCAAGCGTAAACCAATCGGAAGGAAGTAGAAGCAATAAGTAGCCAGCTACGGGCTGATGCCCTCTAACCTTTGACCCCTTCGGTGATCGACCTGGACAAGCGAACGCGTGGGGCAGCTGTACGCGAAAAAATGCCAACAAAATGCTGTGGATTAGTAAACAATCGAAGAAGATTATCGATTTCTTATGAAAATGTCTTGATGAGGTGAGAGTACATGAAGGAATGCACGGTGTCTTGCCTTGTTTTTAAAGTAAACACTTGAAATTCACACGAAGCAGATCTTGTCAATTAAACACAATCCCAGGTTCCACCTAAACAACTAGAAACTCGAAACTAGGAAAAACGGCCGGAATTGGCAGGTCCTTGAGGAAACTAGACAAAAGGCAGAAACCCAGCGAGAGGGTGAGCGTGCATGAATGGCGATTACTTTTCGGCCGTAGGGTGATGTGGAATCAGTAAACAAAGCAGCGACAGCCAAGGTGCACACTTTGAATGCCGATGCGCACCGACAGGCAATGATTAATCTCCACCGATTTTCAAAAAAAACAATACTACTATCAATCAGATTTAAGCCATGGAAGTGAACTCGAGAGCGTCTGATTTGTGAGTTCGGTAGAACACCGGTGTTAAGACAACGCACCGCAGGCCAGGTGAATGGTTTTGTAACTTTCCGATGCGCCGGGCTGAGGAATGTGTTACTCAGGTTTCATTAAATCCAATCAATATACAGATAGAAGCTCGATTCTAACGGTTAATAGGTTTTTCTATGCTTTTGCAACGAGATTCATCAGTTTTGGATCCAAACAAGAAGTCAGACCATGTTTCTCGATCTAATTCATCGCCTGTCATAAAATTAAAACGAATTTAGTTGTTTGAATGCTTTTGTAGAGTTAACACGTTATTAGTGTTCTCAGCAAATCAAACGTCTCATCGTGTTACGGGAGATCGATGAACGTAAACACCTCACACCTTTCACGCATTGGTCATATGCTAATTGATCGCAGAAATCTGATTGGCTGATTTCAGTTCAAATTTAACTTACCAATTATTTTGCTGCATAACGCAATTTCGCGTGGGGAAATTTAAAAGAAATGGTTGTAAATGAAATGCCAACAGTCTAATCGGCTCCTTGTCTGGACAGCATTTTAGCAAATCGGCTCACTCCACTTCTCAGACGGACACATCGGTAGTTCCGAAGTGAACACACAGCTCAAGTCTCAATCTGAACAACCATCGACGTGAAATTGCGTTTATGAGCACGGAAACAGCGCCACACGAAACACATGACTAAGTTGCCATCATGTGTGCTATAATATCGTGCCTCGGTAAGTCGCCAAATGCACACACACACACACATACTTATTACCAGTCTCCACGCCGGTTCACGACGCTAGAGGCATCCAGGGTAAAGGTGTCAATAAAGTCGTGCTGTGCGTTGTCACGCCAACAAGTAAACACACGCCAGGTCGAGAAGTGGGTCGTTGTGACCATTTACCTGACCAAAAACGCGTTTCTCCAAGGCGTCGCAGGTAACAAAGCTACGCAAGTCGATGCAACCGACACTGGAAGACGCCATCGATTTGATTCGACTGCCAAACTAATCCGCAACCTTCAAGTGGGACCTTCTCGTCCCCATGACACTTCAACCCCACAATACTTGGAAATCATGACGACGATTATTATTATAGCGACTGTTGTTAAAATACGCCGCCTCAGTGATGCCGCCGTTTTCGAATTCTCCACCGGCGAAATGGCGTCGTCTGTTCTACCCAACAGGACCACGTTTCTCTTGTTGGCGTGACGATTGAACCAACAGGCACCTATTGCAAATAATCAGGACAAATTGTTGACACCGGTGTTGCTTATAACAAACACAGAATTTAAACGCAAACAGCTGCAGCCTGGTGTGAATTGAAGCCACCGAAATATACCTACCAACGTGGCGTAAACTTGGGAGCATACGTGTCGCTGCATGCGTCGACCCTGATGGAGCTGGTTTCAAAAAATGGTGACTTTGGTGATCTTCGAAGGCGCGAAAATGGCTTCTAGAACCCTACCTTCGAACAAGATACACGACGAACATGTTTCCACATTAGATACACCGGGCAGCCTAATTAAAACGAGGACAATATTTCCAAAGCAGTCGGCTTGTTTGGCTTCGTGTGTAGCCAGCGTAACCAGGCGTGTCTGAGGTACTGAGGTGCTCACTTGGTCAAACCGGTTCGGTTGTGACCAGCGCGAAAAAAAAAGCCATGACAAACGAACGAACACGTCGTCTAATCGCGTCGCGTCATTTCGTGCATGGTACGGTTTCATTTCGTCTTTAAAACCGGTCCCGCTTATGTTGATAGAATGCTCCAGATTAGGATGCATGGGATTGGTTGAAATTGGGGTCAAACCAAGGTCGGCAGGTGGTTGGTTTCAGGTCGGAAAGTGTGCCAAAGTGCAGACAAGGCGTTATCCCGGGTTAATGAATTGAAGAATTGGCTTACTGTGGTTTTATTAAATCAATTCACTGCACAGAATAAATCTTGATTTCAATTGGTTAAAAAGATGGGATTTAACTAATCTTGTGTGCCTAAATGTTATTCACTATGGTTAACAAGTTTTTCGAAGCTGCCGCAGCAATGTTTTAACGATCTTTTAAAATTCCATCTCAGCACTGAACTCAACTTGCTAGATAGCGATTGGACATGATGACAACGGCTGGATATTTATTATTGAAAACTTTGAGTTGCAGATTTTGAAAATTTGACAAAATCAACCGCATTAACTCATTAATCAACCCACAAATCGATAGCACTTCAACGATATTTGAAATACCCGCTGAGTCTCAAGGTCACAGGACTACGGAGCCAATCAGACGTCTCGATGCCGACTGGCCAAGACAATTGTTCTGCAAGTCTAGGAACTTTTACAAAATCATAAAATCAATTAATTACCATTTCGAATCGGTTGTAGGATTAATGCTATGCAATTTTGCCTGCCTTTGAATTGGCCTAGGGATGATTTTACGAGGCTTTGAGGCCGATATAAAAAACCGTCTCACAGTATTACTCTACGACACATAGCCCGAGCTAACTGCTTTCGCAGACGCCTGACTTTTCCGGAAATATTCGTCCCACGGAACACGTCAAGATCAAGAATACACATCTGGTGTTCTACGATCTGGCAGTCGGCAATCTTTCGAAACGACATCGAAGCGTGCCTGAAGGCAAGCATCGTTGAGCGAAGCTTAGAATGCACTCAACAAGGTATTTAGAGGCAGTGCCAGAAACTGTAGATAGACGTCGAAAGGGCCTTTCGAGAACTGTAAACACACTCGTCGCGACTTCACACTCTGGCGCACATCGCTGTGTGGGCGACACGATGCACTTCAAAGTGCACAAGGTAAAATTCCGGCCATCTATCGTCTGGCCGACGCCGAGTCTGCCCCCACGTCGGCTAGGCGTGGCACCACGTGACCCATGAGGACGGGAACCATGCCGAATCATTGGGGTCTTGGTTGCGGCCGTCCAAGGTCCCAACAGCTGCTCACAAATCTCTGAGTCAACTCAGTACAACCAGAGAGAGAGAGAGAGAGAGTTGGAAGAGTACGCTGTCACCACAATTTGTCGACTCACCTGTCTTGCCGGCTGCTTCGCTTTGCTGTTTCCGCTTGAGCACGGAGTGATTTTGTTTGAGAAGGTCCTTCACGGCCGTCGTGTGGCCGGCCACGCGTCGTCTGAGTGCCGACCGGCACCACCAGTTCACCTGGGCGTAGGACCACATCTTGAGGAAGATCACGATGTACATCATGATGCAGGGCGACGAGAAAACTGGAGATTGAGATACACGCAAAAAAACACTACAGGCGTTACACGTTGGACAAGCGAAACACCCACCAGTGATGAAGGCTTTCTTGAGGTTTGCTAAAGTGATGCGTCGTGTTCACAGGACACTCAATATCTCCTCACCCGCCAACATTGATCGCCAAAAATTACCATAAGGATTGGAATTTCCTGTGGCTGAAGTCCTTTTGGCCTAACCTAACCCAAATTTTACTCGGCGGCTTTTGACATTTGATGATTTAGGCCAATGAGAAGCAGAAAATAACCAACGGCGACGAAAACATGCCTGAGAGATTGCGTGCAAGTCTGGCAAAGATGACTTCGGCAACACAAAATTCCGTCCGAGTGTTGTTAATTTAAAATATACCGAACACCGCTACTGAAAAGTCCTTATAACACAACCGATTGGCGAGCGAGTGTTTTCGGTTTTTAGCTTGAAACCAAACTCAATTTTAATTCTTCTTGCCTACTGCCACAAGCCCGAGATAAGTACAATTTTAAATTGTTTTCAAAATACACAGAAATCTGATGGTTCAGGGTTGGTACGATCCGGCCATTTCGACATTACCTTCCGAAGGTGTGAATGTGAAGGCCTTGCGTAGTTTCAGTAGAACACAATTTCTTAATGCTCTACAGATAATGAGCCTTTTTTGTTGACTGTTTCAATAATTGTTGATAGCAAAAGTCGAGCTGTAACTGCGGTCGTGTCGTAGAATACTCCGACAGACAGGCCCTCTTTTCAAAATGAGGAACCGTCCGTCCGCAGGTGTGGTTGAAGACCACACGCCGAGGACTCCAACGCAGTTCAATTTTCGATTTGGTTCGTGCTGGTTCACTACGAGCCACCACAGGCACACCACTATCGGTTTCAGGTAATTTTCATTGGTCCGAAGCACTGTGATTTACGCACAGGCATTTGATCACTTTCCGAGTAAATTACAGATATCTAGAGATAACCGATACTACACGATGCCCTCTAGTCAGTACACAACTAGCTCTTGTGTACTTCACGTGAAACACGTTGCCTCTGTCAACCCTCAAAATCCTTCGAAAGAAGCATCAGATGAGCTACTTGTGAACACGAGGAATTCATTGTGAACAAGCCACACACCACGCGACAGTGGAGCAAGCTGGTGTCGGCGGTTTCACGAGAGAATTAGAGCCCTTTTATTCGCAGCGTATGTGAGCTAGCCAATCACAAACAAAGAATGAGCACACCAAAACACCAATTAATATATACAAAGGAAAGGTGAGTGTAACGTCACGACGCAAAAATCGGGCGCCACAAACTACACCGGTGGCATCCTGTGGCAGTGCTCCAAAAAACCCCTATTGGGTTATGATAGCGTCATTAAAAACACACCAATTTGTGGGTACAGGCGCACCAAGAGTCTAGGCACTTAGTGGCACACGGCAGAACGCCAACGGCAGCTTCACTATGACACACTATAAAGCGTTGTCGAGAATCAAGGTGTTTAGGAACTGACGGGTTGTTTATGTAAAGCACTTGAGCGGTTCACTCGCTTTTTGATCTTAGAGGTAAGCAAATCGATATACAAAAAATTCAGCATAGTTATGGAGTTGCGTTAACTTGGTAGCTTGTCACACGGCATCGGCTAACGGCAACAAACACAGGATTTACAACCTGACAGTTTTTAGTCTTAACTGTAAACTAGGACTAAACACATGGCCAAATTAAGCTAATTTTAGATAAAGGAGAATAAAAAATTGAATTTCGGAAGTGACTTACAGGGGCTCCAGTCATGGGAAAGGATCACAACCGAAGGAAAAACAACCAAACCAGTCAAGTTGAGGCTGATAAGGAACAACATCACGTAGTTCGGCAAGGTCATCTTCTGGAAGAGCAACTCTAATCCAAATCCAACCAAAATGAAGACATTGGAACCTATGATACAAAGAAACTAAAATTGTAGGAATGGCTTTTACTAGTTGAACAGTCAATTCACTCTTTGATTGGTGAAAACAGTTATGCATCTTTATTAAGTGACTTAGATTAAGCTGAGTTTATGACATGGCATCAATCAATACTGGAATTGAATTAACTTGTTTCACATTTGATTGGAAATTGTAGGTAAATAGTAGAGGGACTTACATGCAATAAACAGAAGACCTGACGGTTGTGCGTGTTCGCCCTGAATAATGTAGCGCCAAATGAAGGGGTCCATGATAATACCGTTGCTGTAAATATAAGGTATCTCAGTTACTTCGCCTTAAAGTTCTGAGAAGCCACAAAATGTACTAATTGAAACATGAAGTTAAGAGGTTATTTCGGTTTCAATAAATAGCTTACTGGTCTCAGTAATTTTGTCTGGAAAAATATGATTCCAAATTACATGCAGACTCTCACGAAAAAGGATGATTGAAGAAACTTACGTTAGCAGGTTGTTAAGTGCCATTTTGCCTCCAAAAATGAGCAGCATGATCAGACCCCAATTGATGAGTCCACGAAAATTTGTGAAACCACTTTCGACGCTTAACAGAGAATCCTTTGCTTCATGGATTCTACGGAAAGGAAAAAAATTTGACAGAGTAGGAATTGTAGTTGCGTATGGCTGGTCTTGTGATCAATGAAAGTTGGATTGGTTAAGAATAGAAAGGGCAACACAGATTCAAACGAGTAGTGGAGAAGCTTGGAAAGACACAAAAGATTTGATTAGTGAGCCGCAAAGAAATATACAAATTTACTGAAACTCGTGGCTATCGCTAACAACTAAATTTAACTAAAAATTAAGTACGCAAATAAAAAACTCGAATCTAGCAATTCGTGAAATGCACAGAATCGAGAATTGATAGTCTCATTTATTCCATATATAATTTTTGATTGACAAAATCAGGCTTTATGGCATTTATCAAAATGCATACAACAAAGCCTCGTAAAGTGAAACATGATTATTTAAGCATGATAAATTTATCAAAACATATAGTTTAATCATGAAACTAAAAAGAGTCAACAATAATTGTGTATCGGGTAACTAGGAAAGTGGAGGGACAAAGGAACCAGATGTATTAAACTTGAATATTGTATCTTGGAAACAAAAATGAATAAAGTACAAACATACGGTTGGTCATCAGCATTCTGTCTAGACATCGCTGCAGCAACTGAATATGCCAATACATCACCGCTGCTTAAGGCTCGAGCAGTTTTTCGCTTAGACATTGCATCAAATATCGCTGTGGAATAAACACGAATAATTGTCGTAAATTTTGATTCAGGACAAAATACTTCAAGGACGCAACATAAACAAGGAACAAAATTAAAAATTAATGAAACAGTGAAAAAAAGGTTCAACCATTTAATAGACATCTGTTCAGTAAAATATGATTTAAATTAAAAGCGACAAAAAAATCAATGTTTGTGATATTAAATTACTTTAAATTTTGTAAATTATTGGTTTTTCTGGAGTTTCAGATTATCACCCCACTTTCAAATATGCATTTGCAAAAACTTTTTAACAGAAAAGTGATGCAAGACTTTTCGATTTAAAAATTGATGGTAATCATTATAGATAATTGCAAAAAGATCGCAAAATATTTCATTTTTATAATTGGGAATTTGCGGTTTGCAATCAAATGTAGAAAGGACATGGAAGATATACGTTAGAGAATAACATACATAAAGCCATTATTTCTACCTTGTCTCATCATTAAATGTGTGCAACTAAAAAATCCCATCATGATCTTGCAGTGATTTGCCTGCCAACAAATTGAATTATCCTTTGAAATTCAACTGCAGTCGGAGACGTAAAAAATTTAGTCGTACTGAAATTCATTAAACCATCGTACATGTTTTTGGTTGCCTATGCTCCGATTGTGAGTAAATATGCTCTTTAAATTAGGAATACACCGTGCCACAATTTGAACGTAAGTGTAATGTCAACAAAAGGCATGAAATTAGTATTAAAAAATACCGAAAATTTAAAATAGCAACACTGAATTTATTGTAGAAATATTAAGTACAAGTACAACAGACATAATCATTTGTATAAATCTGAATCAAATTTAATGTTTTCCAATTTCGCTGTTAGTAAATTCAAGGACCGAGCTTCTAATCGTCAGCAATGTTCTATTAGACTTCTTTTTTATTAATTTTAAATTTAGGGACATATACGTCATGCGATTCTTTTGGGACAGCTTAGATGCCCTAGGTCAAACTGTTCATCATCATTCATCAGCACACATAAAATAAAAAGTAAAATAGTTCATTATTATTAAAAGCGGTTTCATATACAATTGAGAATAGTTAAAGAAAGTAATAGCATTCAAAATCCTAGATATTAACTTATCGGATAAAATATTTCGCACTATTATTGCATAAAACCTTGATTCAACGCTCATGGTATGTCTTTTCATAGAAAATCGATGACGTAATTTACGCGAACAAAATAGAGGTTGCCCTTGTCTTGTAGATAAAGACAATTAAGATCGTAAAGTGCACGTGACTTCTGATTATTTGCATTTGTCACAATCAAATAATACCTGAAAAAATTCGAATTAGCTTGACACGTAAATCCTTTTAACCAGTCTTAATTTTTTTCCAGCCAGTAATTTTTAACAAATCACTCGATAACCCAAAATTGACATGCGTGTAAAAAATTGACATGAACACTGTCTGGTAGTTACCCCGAAATCAAATTTTAAATAGTGCAAAATTTAAGTTGTTCAACAACGTGCACGTTTCATCATGAGTAGTTGGCACTACTGCAAAAAACGGTACAAGCATTAATTGCAAACAGAAATGAATCAATCGAATATTTTTTTCTACGTTACGCTAAGGTTCAGGTAGCATTTAGAAGGATCATTACAAATCTGCTAAACAAATTGTAAGAAAAGTTTACGAATACTCAGTTATAATTAATACATTAACTAGGCACGTGCCCACGAATAAACAAGCCAAAATAAGTATTTAGAAAGCCAAGCGTTTACATTTCAAAGGTGTGTTGAGAAAGATGTTTGAATAACACATCGATCTTAAAATTTCTACTGAAAATGTTCCACTTTTTGTGCAAAATATAACGTCAATATTCGCGTTTGCTCAAGTTCGTTGAAAAAAGGAAATGAAAATTTGTTGGACTTTTAAATTTTAATTCAAAGATTCTAAGAAGTACTTGATGTAAAATTGACATAGCAAATATTTTATAATATCCCGCTATAATTTTAGTTAGCTATCAAATTAATTCGTTCAATTAAAATGAGCTTTGAAATTACCTAGCATCAGAAATGTGGATTTTTAAGACTTAATAAGTATAAGAGTTTATGGATTCGTACCAACTTTCTAGGTATCTCACCAAAGCTAGAAACACCATAATTCTTTGCATAGTTTTAAGTTGAAGATATAAAAGTTACTGACTATAAATAGGTACATATCAGAGGCCCGATCATTGCCCCAAATAAAATTTATGGGCCTAGGAATGCACATTAAATGTCTTGTGTTTTAAGGTTTAAAGGCTTACACAAATGAAATGTTTCAAATGGCTCCTTTTAAATGTCATATATCATAAAACTTATTTTTGAGCCTAGACATCAGAACTTATTTTACAGTTGAAAACTATATTTATCGCTTTCGCTGCCTGTGTGATTTAAATATGATATAAATTTTAAAAAAGTGCATAATGTATGCGTTTAAAATCTTTTTTTTTTCACATTTATCCGAAACGGTCAAAATGCTTTTAAAAAACCCTGAAAATAGCTAGATAGTACTAACTTCTGAAACCCTTTTAATTTTATACATTTGGTTTTTTTCGCAGTGACAAATAAATCTTGTTCGATTACTAGCTCATTGTAAAAACTAATTACTTTCAAGTTTGTTTGTTTGAATTTGCATTTGGAGACCTGGAGCGTCACTCTATTGTCTCAACATGGGTGTAAGTGCGTTGTTCTCGATGCTAATTTCGTTTATCAGTTTTATGTAACCCTGCTTCACTTGGTTGTAGGTTAGAGGAAATCGTAAGCATTTGAAGCGTTTAAATGCTCCGAAACACTGGATGCTTGACAAGTTGGGGGGTAATTTTGCTCCCCGTCCTAGCACTGGTCCTCACAAGCTTAGAGAGTGCCTTCCACTTTCTATCTTCCTACGAAACCGTCTCAAGTATGCTCTGACGTACGACGAATGCACCAAGATTCTTGCTCAGAAGCTTGTCAAGGTTGATGGGCGTGTCCGTACCGACAAGAAGTATCCCGCTGGTTTCATGGATGTTATCTCCATTGATCGCACCAACGAACATTTCCGTCTTATCTATGACACTAAAAAGCGTTTTGCTATTCATCGCATTCACCCGGAAGAAGCCAAGTACAAGCTCTGCAAGATCCGGAAGGTTCTGGTCGGCCCAGGCAAGGTCCCCTACATCGTTACCCACGACGGTCGCACCATTCGTTATGCCGACCCCGAAATCAAGGTTAACGACACCGTGCAAATTGACCTGGCTACCGGAAAAGTTCTCAATTTCATCAAGTTCGAGCCTGGTTAGTCGGTTTATACCTTATATGTCATGTTATTTAGGCAATGTGTGCATGATCACCGGCGGGCACAACTTGGGTCGCGTTGGCGTCATCACCCAGTGGGAACGCCATCCGGGCTCCGTCGAGATGGTTCACGTCCGTGACAACACCGGACACCAGTTTGTCACCAGGTTAAACAATGTGTTCATCATTGGCAAATCGAACAAAGCCTGGGTCTCCCTCCCGAAAGACAAGGGTATCCGTCTGTCCATTCTCGAGGAGCGTGATCGCCGTTTGAGAGCTAAACGCGCTGGTCATTAAAGATATGTGATTACTTGGAATTGCGGTTTTTTGCTAAAGAAACGGTTTACCGCTGGCTGATGGCTCTTTCGTCTGAAGCCTTGGGATTTTTATTGTGTCAACGCTCTGTAGGGCCAGAGATATCCAGTGTCAGTTTCAGAGGTTTAAAAATGGTGCTTTTGTTGGGTGGATTTTTTTGAAATTGCCGTTGTGTGCTATTTATACGGCGTGTCGTTTATTGAGGTCTATTGAAATCCAACATTTACTAATATGCTCTTGGCGTCTTATAATCTCTTATAGAATTGAGAGCAGGAGTTGTATACCCATTCTTGAAAACTATTACCAATAAATGAGTCTTAGTAAGTTGAGGTGATATGGTGGGACGGCTGTGCCGCCTCGTGTTGTCCCGTTTTTTGTGGCGGCACTGTGATCGATTTAAAACTTAGGAAATCATATTGTTTGGCTGTCTAGTGCGATCAAACATGGTTACTGACCAAGATGTAAATTCTCGTGGGCCATCCCAAATTGCCAGACTTATCATTTTGATGCTCGTGCAGAAAATCGCCGTTAGAAGCCCTGTGCCGACACAGGTCGCCACATCAAGTCGACCCCGTTATCAACCCCGAGGAAAGAGATGACCAAATCCGATATGGGATAAGTTTATTTTCAAAAATTTACAAAACTGATGCTTATCGCGCCTTCCTGAAAGAAAAAAGAGAGCCGGTTAACTTGCAATAGGGAAATACCGCACTCCGCAAACCAAAGTACCCACCAGATCGGTTTCTTGCGAGCCTTCTTCTGTCCCGGTTTCTTTCGCTCGCTAAATCGATCGTCCTGAGTCAGTAGACCAGCTGCGCGTAGCCTGTTGCATCCCAAGTCCCCCGGCAGGAAACAGGCAAGTGCCCTCGAAATGGCCAGTCGCATGGCGTTCGCTTTCGAACTGTGTCCAGTCTCTGTGTCCGCGACTTTGGCAATTATATCCACTGCGCCTAACATGTCTTCAGAAAAAGGCAGTCAGTTTAAGGGGAACACATGGGCTTAGGGTTTTTAGGCATGAACAACCGATTAATACATATGGATCAAATTGGGGAACTCACTCGTATACTGCAGTGGGAACATAATCTGCTCTCGGTCACCGAGGTGCGGAAAGCATTCGAGCAGGCGTTTGTCGTTAACAATAACCTTCCCCACTCCAGGATGCAGCATCCGTAGTTCCACAAAAGCATGCTTCTTCTGGCCGTACGTATCGACAAACCGCTGATTGGTTTCGGGGTCAACTTGAGGCTAAAAACCGAAAAAAAAACAGTCTGCAGTTTGAAGAACACCCGAGACAACATCGGACACTGTGTAACAGGAGAAAACGATGTTAAACAGGGTAAAGTGCATGCCAAACACTCACTTCAGGGAACACCTCTTTGGTGGCGGCTGCTTGAACTGAGGCGCGGTACGACTGAATGAAGTTTTCCGCATGCCACGCAAGCTGATGGTTCACGAGAGCATTCATGAGTCTTAGCCAATCTTCGTACTAAATAGTGATATCAGGGCATTAGGATATGAATATGAAATTTAGGTGCATTAAGTGATCGACGTACCATGGCATCCGTGATTGACTCCAGAAGCTTTCGACTTAGCTGGTCCTTTGTAAGCCACTCACTAGCGGCCAAAACCCTATTAAGAAAAAAACGGAGGCTTTAAAATAGGTGGGTTAATAGACTATATGCCAATTAAAAAAGTTAGCTCAACGAAGTAAAGACATTTAGGAGTCATGTACACAGAGTTACGCAAACGGAAACATCACGCTATCCCATTAGTCTTACTCATCCGGAGTTTCGAAATAAATGAGATATGAGAGACAAATCAAGGGTTACTTGAAGTCACAACTTACAATGGTCTCTGGTTCTTGAAGGCAGTAAAATCACGGTCGATGTAACCTCGGTCAAACTTATAGTTGAGATCTTCCAATAAACAGCTGGCTTTCTAGGAAAGTGTATTACCTCAGGTAGACGGATTACATGCATCACATCAAAATAAGCGGGTCTTCCAGTGTAGTACAGATCATGAAATGGCCGCCCCGTTTTGTCAAACTGGAGCTCTAAAATGCGCAATTAGCAGACGAGAACCAACTTTTCTTCTCGGGATAAACCTCCTCGGGTGGCTTAATGGCAACAGTAATACTAATAAAAAGAAACAAACCTTCAATTTTGGGTGAGCTCGACGAGATTTCAGGCCGGAAGGGAACAGGTAACGTATTGCCTCGTCAACTTGCTCCTGGCCAAAGGATGAAGGATCCTGTCCCATTAAACGAGCAAGAAATTTCTGGCCATTTTTGTATTTTATTCTTTCTTCCTCCAGCATATTTTCTGTGAAATTTGTTACGTTTTTGGCGAACTAACCATAAGATTGGAAGTTTTGTAAATAAAACTCAATTGACGATGCAATTCCGTCACTTTTACTACCTCCCATACCGAGTGCGGAATGAGGTAGAGTGGAATAACGCTAAAAAGATAGTAACCGACGTGTGACTTACTGCTTTTCTAAAGTTCACATTGGCAAAACGGATAAACTGTCCAAAAACACACTGAGAGACTGACCGCAACATCAGAACGGAACACGCGCTCCAGAAACCAGCCAATCACAACGGTGTTCAATCGACCACGAAACATGATCGCTCCAAAGGAGAAAGGTGAAAAATCAGATACTATAAAAGATTGGAGCATCATAAGTTAGGATTATTTAAAGTTCAGGCTTTGCTATTTCCAGTCGAAATTTTTTGATGGTGAATAAACTTATTCACCTTGGAAAGAAGTTAATTGCTTTACCTTCATGCTTCATATTAATGCAAAAGAACTTAATTCTACCACGCGGGGTGGGATAAGCCGTTTTACACAAGCTTTAAAAGTTATGCATATTGTGCGTGAGGCCTAGACCCCTTGAGTTGTTTGCAGCGTCTAATCGTATCGTCGTCAGTTTCAGTATTAGCCGTTTATAAAAAATACTAAATAACAGACGCTTTTCGGCAATAGCATAACGCATAAAGTCCATATTTTACAATACCTTTAAGGGGTTTTTGTTACAGCTCTAGATCTGTTGATGACTCTAAGTTATTTATATTTAGTTGTCGATAACAGTCGAGAGTTTTTTTATTTGGGAGATTTTTCCCACTACCATTGTTACGAGCCACTAAGAATCACCTCGAAATTGACTCGATTGCAGAAGTATCCATTTCTACCTAATGAGTATGTTCACAAGATTCATATATTACAAGGTGGCCACATTGAATAGATCAGTCAAATTTTTTACGCCCTAACTACTAGCTTTTATTGCCAGAAAACAGTAAATTTACATGGTTTGTTTAATGCGAGAATGTCTGCCATCATAAAAGTCGACAGTTTATAATTCTTTTTGTGTAAAGTAAAACACATTGATTTATTGGATTATCTGACAAATTATTTTCAAATTATCATTTTATCATGGCTGCATGAAGATATTTCATGATGACATCTACGTTGAGTTAAACTTATTTTAACAGAAATATAACTTAATTAAGAAAATAAATCTAATTTTTATATCAATAAAAAATCCACGAAACTCTTGCAAAACACACACGTTTGGTATTTTAAGCTCCCATTTCATTAAGTGGAACAGCTGTCTAGAAATGGTACGCAGGTTATAAGTGCATTACGGGGCATATGTCAGACAAAAGAATTTCATGCTAGCATATTGGGTTTGTTGAGAATCTTTGATTTTAGAGTCGGATTATGGCATATTCCGTAGAACCATTAAAAAATTTTTTTGTTTTTTTTTAATATAGTTGTCGAGAACAATTATTCACTTTAAATGTCTTGTAAACAGTCGTAAGCTAGTGACAGCACCCAGACCCTTTATATACTGACGGTTTCGTATATCACATCATGACTTGAGTTTAAGTACAATTTTGTCGTATTCATATCGACCACTCCTACCCTATCGACCCAATTACCCTTAACTTCATTATTCAGCTAGTTGAGTTCAAGGTCATCGAGGTTATATATAGAAGTGGTGTAGAATACCCGAACCATAATAAGAAAAAGACTGGTACAACAGAACAGGCTTTATTGACCTATCACAAGCCAGAGCCACAAGTCAGGCGTCTTCCATCCGAGTCCCACACGGTAGCCACGCCGCTCATTATATAATGCTCCTCAATTGTCTTTCTCTGGTTGGCTGTCTTTCTTCCTCGCATGCCATTGGAGCGCAAAGTGACACAGGATTGGCTGAGACCACCTTAGTCCAATATATCTGCGCCCTCAGACGTCGCCACAGTGGATGAACGTTAAAAGAGTAGTTGATTGCACGAGTGGGCTCTTATTTAAATCACAAATCTACGTCATGGTTAACCATGGTATTCTATACCAGTCGTAACCACCTGCTTACTGATTTAATCCACTGCAAAAATAATTGTTGTAATTTATGCTTTGTTGCGTTATCATCCACCAAGCAACCTCGTCCCGGTAATGATTCCAGATGCCATAGCACCCAAAGGCAAATGTGTTAAATCAAACCTTTTTGATGCGTGAGAATTATCAAATCGGATTTTAGCACCTAAGCCACAGAAACCCGATCCGTCATCTCACGCGGAACCTCTCACCAAGGCAGACAATTCCCTCGATAAATGCAAAATAGACTCAAGTTTTTAATTTTTATCCTAAAAATAGAATTTGTCGTCTAGAAAGAGGGAATGACAAAAACAAACACATCGCTGTACTATAACAACACACTTGGAAAAAGGTATGGCAAAGTAAATAACTAGGGTGAGGGTAGACGTTGTCGCACAACAAGGGATCACATGGAGATATATATCACAGGATGAGGGGTCGGGTAGATAGAAGCGCTTTAACACAGGTTTGGTTTGGTGATCTCGAAATGACTGGAAGGGTTTTGTTTAGTAAAATAACGTGACAGCGTTTCAAAACTATGGGTCAACAGCAACTAGTAGAGCAAGTATCAGGGAGAAAGCGGTAACGGAGAGAGCACTGGCTTTGCCACCATGCAAATATTGACTAATTGGTTCCCCCAGAAGCCTGCCCGATGTTCCGCTTAGCTCAGAGGTCCGAAACACCACGACGTAGGGATTCGATTGGCCAACGGAATTCTGCCCCACGAGGTTGACCTCGTAGGAAATGCCCGGCTGAAGGCTCTTTATGCGGTACATGCCTTCAATGCCGAGACGTGTTCTTCGGTCGGCGTCGCGGGAAAGAACGTCAAAGACTGTCCATGAGGCAAGCGGGGTGATTTGGTGCTTCACTGCAATTAATTCAAATATTCTTTAAAAATAATGACTACTGTTTTATTTAAGTACGCGGTTTGCAAAACGATTTACCCTGTTTTGTTAGTGCGACTAGTCAATACAATCACTCAAAGGGTAAAAGGGGAGCAGATACGCCATCTAAGCTCCACGGTTTAGGTCCCACGGTTCCTCCTTCCGCGTGTCGCATTTGTAAGGACGACACTGGGCATGTAGGAGGCGTTTTCTCAGTGCCCTTCTTTCCAGCCAACGTGAGAAGTGTGAACGCGATTTCGGACACAACCCTAACGCCCTTTGAGCTCATCTGGGTGTAGCAAAGATTTCGTTTTTACGGCTTGGGAAAAAGCCTTCCCTTTGCCTATCTTTTACCTTTTGGTGCGCCATTTGAATTCGCCCCAAAGTGGCCAGTTATTAAATGGAGATGAGAAATCAATTGATTTGGACACCAGATTATTCCAATTTGCATGTTATTGATTTGCAGCCAAAATAACAAAGCCGAAATAGAGGAGTTAGGGACCAAGCGATCCTGCTTACCGGGTCCCCAAGATGTCTTTACTGGGCGAATCCTGATTTTGTAAATGATGACAGGAGAACCACCATCAGATTCAAGGATCCATCGAACTAGGTAGTCGGACGACGTAACGTCGGAATCGGTGGCAATTAATTTCAATTTCGGCACTCCAATTCGCCGTGTCATGACCTTGAGCGTAGAAAAGAGAAATCCGATTGGTCATTTCAAACCAACCAATCAAAACACGAGTAAATTTGCCAATAAGGTTACGACACATTTTCGAGTCATTCGCTCGAAATATGCATGTATGCCTAAGATGAATGTAGACAAATGGCTGTTTGGTAAAATTTAAAATACTTCCATACTACTGATAATACCTGTAAGTAAGTATTTGGACCTCGGCCAGCGGAGGTGACGGCGGAGAGAGCAAACTTGTAGAAGTGGTTCGGGGTGAGGTCGGGGAGTCGAACTACACGTCGACCTGGCAGGTACGCAAAGGGTCCGTGGAACCGCTCGTTCGGGGAGGGCTGGATTCGCAACTCGTAGTGGGTCAAGGGCAGACCCCCTGTCTCCTTTGGTGGGATGACGCACAACTCAACCAGCGTTGCCTCCACCTAAAGTGCATTTTCGATCGCAGTTAGCTGCGTATTCGCGCACACATTAAATGCGGGTTGGAGCCTGATCGATAGCCAATTGAATACTCAGAATGTGACCCAGCCAGTGGAATTAAGGCCATGGCGTCTTGAGCGGTCACTTTGAAAATGGTGTGCATGGCAGATTGGACACAAAAAGGACTGAATTCAAAATGCGCCATAATTGAGTTTTAGGGACTCAGTCAAACCTCGTTAGTTTACCTAACCGTGTGTTCTGTCAAAAATTTAAAGCGTACACACTTTAGTGATTCAACGTAATTCACGTCAGTCAACTCTGTCATTACCTGCCTTTGCTGGATTTTTATACACTTCTGAGCATGCAGTTGTTTGAACTTATTCCCCACGAAACTAAAATTACCACACTGAATCAGCCAATGGTTGGCTGACATGATGGGAGAAGAAGGATGCCATTAGCTCGGTTTTGTTCTTTGCACATTTTTCATTTTAGTTGTTTTTTGCCGATTTAAAATTAGTTCAAGTTGTTTTAATTGACCCTTCATATATCCCGCCGCAATTTCAAATAAAAGCAGTCAGTATAACAAAGGGATGTTTATTAATGATCGAACTCTTTTCCTGTAACAGATAAACGAACGCGCGCGAGAATGTACTGCGATTTTAAACAAGTACTCAGAAAACTAGATTTTAACTAATTTAAGACAAGCACGTGCAAAATAAAGTGACAATTATTAAACCAGTTCCTAAATCACACGGCCTATTAGAATAATCACCAATCGCATTCGAGACTCACGAACGCTGATCTCATTGGCTGCGGTCTAATTGAATATTGAACACTGGCCTTGAATTAATTAAGCGCGTTAATCGAAAGTGGAGTGTACAGTAACTGTCTAAATGCCGCAGTTTTTAGCATAGCTAACGCAATAGCAAAACGCAAAATAAACAAATTTACGAAGTAAATTATGCACTGCCTTTTTTGATGTGACAATTTTAACACATTTTTCTGAGAACATCCTCATGTGGATGGGTAAAAATTAAAATCTGGCGTTAACTTTCACAAAAATGGTCTCTACAATTTAACTTTTACAGCTACACAGAAAACAGGATAATTTTGACATTGTTCAGGCCTAGTTCATGTTTCAGAATAAATATTTAATTCAACATGGAGGATGTTTACGACAAAATTCCCAGCTCCGCTGCCATTGACGATGAAATATTTACGGTTCTAACTTTTTTGACAAATGATGTTCCTGAGACAGTTGTAACAATATGTTACTCAATTCATTCTTGTAAAGTTTTGAGCTAATCGCGAAAGTCAGTCGATCGAATATAACGACTTCGGAATACTTGGCAATTGCTACCAGAGACGGTATTAAACGGGTTTACACAGAATCGACCGGTCATCGACTAAATGCTGAAAGTGCTCACGAACGGTTTTCTCATTGGTTACGAGGATTGTGGAGTGGCTGCGTTTAGCACGCAGATGAACGGCTGCAAATAACACATCGATCGATAATGGAACGCCATCGGGGCCAGGCTATGGCCCTATCAATTTGGACCCGCTGTCCTTTGTGCAGTTGAGTGCTTTGCCAACTCGTCCTCGTTTACTCATTTCAAAACCTCGTTGATACGTCAATGTCGAACAAATGTTTTTTTTAATACTGGAACTAGCAAGCATACTGGACAATCTGACCTCTAATTATGTCAGTTTTCCACTCTTTTCGAGTTCGCGTTATATGCCCCGTGACATTTCTGCACCAAGTGTAAACAAAAAAAGCAATTTTTAATTCCACATACTTTTAAACCTTAACGAAACCACCCAAAGTACACAGTTTTGATGTTTGGAACAGTCTAAAGTGCGTTTTCTTACCAGTTTACCATACAGTTTGCCCAAAACATATGCCAACACCGAGGACGAGCAATCGTTTCGTGGCGACAATGTCTTTTTCGACTAAAATTTGTCAATTCCTATTGAAGGGTGTTGTGTTAGTTCACTTCCATTACAGCTCTCAATGTAAGTCGAGACGTCACCTCAGTAATTGACTCCCTTTCGAAAATTTGTGTATCCCTTGTTCTAAAATGTCTGAGTTTGCGCCCTTCTGTGATCTTGAGGTGGACCATCCAATAAGGTTCAAGATACGTGCAGTGGTCATGCTCCGATCACTCGATTCAACACCGCGACCCCAATGATTTAGAGGGCAGATAAAAAAGTTGGGCTGAAAATTTGAAAAATTACAACTTTAGAAAGTCACGATTAAACACATCGCGAGAGAATGAGGGAGAGAAGAAGGCTGAAAAAAATCGTTAAAATGATCACATAATTAGATCTTAACTTTGGTCTATGTGTCGATGCCCGAAAAAAACGGCTAGCCATAACGACATGATTTTTAACATCACCCTGATATCTAGTCCGCTTGCTTACCAGAACACAAAAAAGACAAATCCACGAAATCAACTGGCTTTTATGTGCATCAGCAGGTGTTTGATTAAATTACTTCCCACCGTAATAAAATAGGCCGTAATTAAGCGCTACTGTGGGTAGCCTCTAAAACGCAGACGCTATTATTCGGAAACGTAAGCAGAACTAGAGAATGAGCTCGCTTCATCACGTTGCCTTTGTTAAAGGAAATTGAAATAATCCATAATTTACAAGTTAGGAAAACTTCTTCGTCTAAATCACTAGCTGACACCAACTCACATTCATATCGACCGCGTGCACCCTATTGGACAATTTGAGAGCACCGTCAATTTTATTGGCTGCGCAGCTGAGCTAGCCATTGGTCCGTTAACCACCAAATCAACAGAGCTGTAAGATAACTCACGTTGATTAGCTACTACTTACAAGCAGGAGAAAAGTAGGTTATAAGCCAGTCAGCCACCAGTGTCACGGGCCGGGAAATTATTTATGATGTCTGGATAGTTGGACAAGTTGTAAAAAATTCATACCGGAGTCATTGTCATCATTATCGCCTTCCGCCTAATTAAACCCGAACCCATTTCTGTCAAATAAGATGCTTTGGGTGTCAGAAGCCGTTTCAAAAATTCGCTGGACTTTTGCGTGCCATCCGTGATTAAGTCATTACCGAGAGAAGGCAATTAAGAGCTGTCACATTTAGCCACAAAGGGACGCGGAATCTTGTTCTTTCAAACCAATCAAGAGATGCAAATCACAATTCAACTGGAAACTAATTATCCAGGCACGGGGGGAAGGCACATGATCTAAATTTTCGAGTCAAGTCTAGATTTGGTTTGAATTGCACGTGCTTGGCTGCCAATGTCCTTGACTTGAGAAAAGGTCATTTGTTAGAAGAAGTTACTTTCAAGTTTATGGCCTAGCGGTTAAAGTACATGGAGATTCCAGTCCATAATTAAAGGGGCTTTTATTAATCTTAATGTTCAAGGCAACATTTTAATGATTATTTTTCACGGATTTCTACTTTGGCAAATGACTGTAATGTGGATAATCTCGAAAAAATAAGTGAACGTTCTGGCTACCAACAGCAGCCATTAACACGCACAATGCATTCGAACACATTTAAATGTTGAGTTTTAGCTGATTCATGCGGTAGCTTCAAACATTAACTACCAAGTTCTCTGATGCAACCGATAACACACAGAAACGCGTTAGGCCTGCCATAAATTTGCATTCTTCCACTTGAAAAGCAAAACAATAAACCTACGGTGAGCTTCTGAATCGTTTGGTTGTCCCAAATTGTGCAATTTCACAAAATTTTGACCCGAACCGCCAGATTTTAGAGGTGTACAAGTGTGCATTTAAATTTGTCAGCAAATTATATTTCAAAACGTTTTTTATATAATGGCTTGATCGACCACATTTTAAACCAATAAGAATCGAGGCCCAAGGTCAACATTAATCGATACAAAAACTTACACAGCTGAAATTGCACGATGTTTACACCACTTTAGTTAATTTACACTAAGAGAGAATCGAGAACGCTTTAAGTTATTAAATTAAATGAAAGCGTCGCAGACAAATTTAATTGCTAGAGCATTGACAAGGACAGAATCCAAATCGTCTTTTTAGCCAACATTGAGTGGTGTTACTTTATGAGGGCAAAAAATATATATTTCACTTACAAAAATACACGTAGTAGAAGAGGCGTTTCCGATGTATAATTTGCTCAAAAATAAACAAATCTTTAAAAAGTAAAAGCGTTACACGACAAATGAATTTGACCTAATTACAACTGACTAGAATGCGGGCAGACGAAGAGGTACAAAATGAGATCAACGGTTCAAAAAGTAAACAACTTAAACAAAGGCAAATCAGCAATCAAGAAACAGCCTGAATTAGCAGAATGCTGACTCAGCCAAATATCGATTTTTCCATTGATTGCTCCTTCTACTCTCACCAATCAAACCATCGTCCCGTTTGGTAGTCTACGAACCCACATGCATTTGTGGGTGCGCGTTTGTTACTGATGACTTCAGTTAACTCAAAGTCAACGC